AGGATTTTGCCGCCATTATTTTTCCCCAGAGAAGAGTTGATCATTCGAGAAGGAGAGTGAACAGTGATCACTTGAGACCGTGCCCGCTTTTCCCCTCGGCTGCCAGCGCGTGTGCCACGAAACAGCTGTTTAGCGTGACTGGGAGGGAGAGGGAGGAGGGGGAACGTGGCACGCTCAGGGGAGGAGGCGGGGCTGGGGCAGGGATTTGGGGAAGGGGTCCAATAGGGCGGGGGCGGAGTTGGGGCAGGGGGGCACAAGCAAATCCCCCGCCCCCCCGGGTGTGTCCTCTTTTTTTTTTAAATGTTCAAATATGGAAACCCTATTAGTGCCAGGCTGGGGGGATGGGGTACGGGCAGGCTGCAGGGGGTGCTGCCCTGGTGCTGTGGTCTTGGTCCCAGCGCCAGGCTGTCCCCAGCTGTGCCCCCTGCACAGACCCGAGGCTGCGTGCCTGGCCTGCAGACATCTCACTGTGTCTCTGCCTGCAGCCTGCGGCAGCGGGTTCTGGCTGCGGGATGGCGTCTGTGCCGGGTGAGCCCTGGGGTTCCACGGGAGGCTGCTTGCCGCCGGGGGAGCGCCCATGCCCTGGGAGCAGCGCGTGTGCGTTCGCTGGGGCCGTGCAGCTGAGGGCATTGGCTCCTGGCTGAGCCCCTCATCAGGGGGACCCGGTGCCACCCCGGGGCCTCAGTTCCCCCATGGCTCTGCCAGCGGCTGCCCGTGTGACAGGGGCAGGTGGCCTAGTGGCTGGAGCAGGACAGGCTCTTCAGACACTCCCTGTATATGGGGGAGTGGGTGGGTTACCCTTGGGTTTGAGGGGCTCACACCAGCCTGCATGGCCCACGGGGCTGGAGGGGGGGTACGGTGCGGGGTCTCTGCTTGGGCCCGGGCCCAGGGCAGCGCATGGTGCTGGGGGGCAGCCCTACGGCGGGCGCTGGCCCTGACAGCTCTGCTGACAGCTCTCTCCCGCAGCCTTCCTGCTGCCGCTGGTCGGGGTGTCCTGCGCGGGGAGCGGCCTGCTGCTGGCCTGGGGTAAGGCGGCTGCCGTGCAAACACCCCCTGATGCAGGGGCAGACAGGTGCCCCTCCCTCCCCACCTGTGCGGGGGGAGCCAGGGCTGCGGGTCGGGAGTGAGGGGCACCGGCAGAGCTGTAGGGGGGACAAGCCAGGACCCTGCTTGGGGGGATGGAATTGGCCCCCCCTCCCCCAGCAGTAGCTGAATTGGCACCGGTCCCTCCCCCCACCCGCCAAGCGCTGGGAGAGCGGCTGGCTCTGGTGTGGAGCAGCCACTAGAGGGCACCAGCCCCTAGGCCGAGGCGCAGCCTGACTCCTGTCCTGGGGTGAGGCTGTCTCCCCCCCCCCCGCCACCTTGCTCAGAGCATGGGGGTGTGGGGGGGGAGAGACTTGGGCGTGGGGGTGCAGGGTGGCATCGGGGGTTGGGGGGTACTTGGGGGCAGAGCCCGAGTGGGGGGCTGTCCTTGGGGGTGATTGGGGCAGGGTGGGGGGCATGTGGGTGGGGGTGCAGGGCCCTGGCGGCTCAGCACTTCAGACTGGCTGGCGCCGTTGCTCCAGGGGTGCGGTGCCCTGTGCTGACACCACCGTTGGCCCGGGGCCACGGGCTGGGGCAGATTCTCCTGCCCCTGCCCTCCTCAGGCCGCCCCCCCCGCTCTGTGGTGGGAGGGCCCCCAGAAGTGGCTGGGGTCTCTGGCCTGGGCCTGGGAAGGCTGGGGGAAGGCTGGGGTTCATGGCGGGGGCAGCTGGCCTGGTAACCCCCTTCTCCTCTCAGGAGAGCCAGAGCCCCGGCACAGAGCCCCAGCCTGGCAGAGCCGGTCGTGCTGCCCTTCCAGCCCCAGCAGCTGAGCCTGCCCCGGGTGCGCCCCCGCGGCCCCTGGAGGAGGTGGAGATCCCGGAGCTCGGCCCGGGGAGCTGGGTGCATCCCTGCTGCGGGGACAGGCTGAGCCTGGTGAGTGCGGGTGGCGTGAGCCCTGGGCAGGGGCCTGGCACCAGCTCTGGCACTGGGGAGCCCTGTGCTGAGTCAGCACCACCCCCCTGGGGCAGGCGTGGGGGGGGGGGCTGGGCTCGGGGGCAGCTCCCCTGCCCCAGTGCCTGGAGCAATGGGGCAGGGGCCTGCTCAGGGCAGGGCCTGATGCCTCCTTCTGTTGTGGCTGCAGGGTGCTGGGCGGGTGCCAGCTGCCGGGAGCTGCATGAAGACGTTCCGGGGCTCCCGGAGCTCACCCGGCTCGGCCCCCCGGCCAGGGGGTGGCCAGAGCAGCCTGGTGTTTGTCAGCAACGAGGAGTGGGGCCAGCGGAACTGCTGAGGGGTGGGCGGGGGCACTGCCCTGCGCCTAGCCCCATGCCCGGCCCGTGAGGAGACGGCGCCATTCGAACACGGACCCTCAGCCCTGCCCTGGGCAGGACTACCCTGAGCTGGGAGGGGCTGCCACGTGGGTGTGCTGATTGTCTGGCGGGGTGTGATGTAATGTGGGGGTGTCCCAGCCGCTGGCGGAGATATGCCCCATAGCAGCTGCCCCACAAGGCATCCCAGCCCCTTGGCCAGGTTCCTCTTGCCAGGGCCGGAGCTTGGGGGGATGGGGCCATGGGCGGGGCACGCTGGGGGCGGGGGAGGGATGGCATGGATGGGGTTGTGGGCTGGGGACCCACCCAGGAGGGGCACCCTGCGGGGGGCTGGTGGGGATGGGGACGTGGGCTGGGACCCTCCACTCTGCTGGGGCACTGGGGGCTTCTGAATTTTTATTTAAATGTTCTTAATAAATCAAGTGGCAGCTGCCCTGCGGGTGCTGTGGCAGCTGTGTGCCCTGGTGGGGTCACCTGTATCGAGTGAGGGGCAGGGGCTGGCCTGGCCCCGTAACACAGGGCTTGGGCAGGGCCGTGGCTGTCAGGCTGGGGCCTATTCTGGCAGCGGTGGGATCACCGAGAGCTTGGAGTGTTCCCCTGTGGGGCACCCCCTGGGGCTGGCAGCTGCTGCTGAGCAGAGGCCACTGATTGCTGGTGCCCAGCCAGCTCTGGGCCTGGTCGGGACGGGGGCTGCCCCCATCCCTCGGTGGGCATCCCTGAGCTGTGGGCAGGGCTCCTCGTCCCCAAGGACACTGCCTCCCTGGGCTGAATCCTCCAGGCCTCCCTGGGGTCAGGGCGGCCATGGGGGGCTGCGCTCCAGAGACTTAGCACGTGGGGGGGCAGCAGGCTCCTGCTGAGAGGGGCTGTGGGGCTGGGCCGCAGGGCCCCTGCTTTCCCAGCGCTGGACGCGGCAGGGCCATGCCCTGGGAGTGGCCCGGCTGGCTCAGCCACGGGGTTGCTGGAACTCGGGGTCCTGTCTCTGCTGGTGCCAGACACCGTGGCTGCAGCCCTGCCCCAAGGTGCGTTGTCGTTGGGGGAAGCGCCTGGCCGGGAGCAGCTCCAGCTCGCAGCAGAGCGAGGGGGCCGGGCGAGGGGCTGGTGGGGCCCTCCGGGTAGACAGGGCCAGCTGCTGCTGGGGGAGTGGGGCTGGCCCAGCCCCCGGGCTCGCCCAGCCCCCGGGCTCGCGGCTGAACCAGCCCTGTTGCAATGGGAGCAAAGGCCCATGTGTTCCTGGGGAGGGGACAAACCAGGGCCAAAGGGCTGGGGCCGTGAGGGATTCTAGGCTGGTACCAGGCGGGGGCTCAGACTAGCTATTGGAACGGTCCCTGCTGCCCTGAAGCTCTAGGGAGGGGCCCCCTGACGCCTGCAGGCCGTTTGCACCTGGGTGGCTCCTCACCGTCCCTGGCAGAGCTGGGAGATCCCGGCTCCCCACCCGCTCCCCACCCACCCCTCTGCCCCCCGGGCCGGAGTGGGCCTTACGGGGTGTCTCCACAGCTCTGCCCAATCAGAAATGCCCTCCAGAGAGGTTCCTCACTGGGGCCATGGACCTGCTGGGCACCCAGAGACCCCTGCCCCCCGCCATGCCTGAGCCGTGTCTGATCACTCTCACCCTGGCCCCTAGGGTAGGCCGGGGGGGCCCCCTCCCTCCTTGGCAGGGTGGGATTTGGGTGGGGAGCTCTGAGCTGGGCTGGGCCGTGCGTGGCCATGGGTGGGGGCTCATTCCCTCCCGTCAGCTCAGCTGTCTGCATCCCCCTCTGCTGGGACCCCAGCGGCTGGTACCTGCAGCCCCACTCCCCCCAGGCCTGGCCAAGGGGATGCCCCCAGCCCTGCTGGCACCCATGTTGACACTGGAGGGGTCAGCCAGCCCCCTCTTTAAATCCAGCTTGGTGCCTGGGGCGGGGGGTCCGTTGGCCAGACGCACATGGCTGGGCTCAGCCCAGGGGTACCGGGGGGAAATGCCCTGGCCTGTGATGTGCCGGAGGTCGGCCTGGCTGCACTAGTGGTCCCTGCTGCCTTCGAGTCAATGAGCAGCTGACTCTATTGTTGGCAGCAACACAAACGCCCAGCCCTTCTTGCATCTTGCTAAGCCCCTGGCCTCAGCAACTTCCTGCGGCAGAGAGTTCCCCAGGCTAATCAGTGTATGAAAATGTTCCTTTTTTTCAGTTGTGAGTTTCCCACTGTGTAGTGTCCCTGCGTGTCCCCTTGTTGGTGTGTTCGGCAGCAGGACGAGGAGCCGGCCCTGACCTGCCTGCACTAGTCCAGTTGTTACTGCACAGCCCTTGGCCTGTCCCCTCCTGTCGTCTGCTGTGTAAGGTCATGATCCCAGCCGCTCTTCACTGGGCTTTTCCAGGCTTTCAATCCCCCTCCTCTGACCACGCGAGCTCTGCACCCGCCTGTCTCAGGTTGGGAGCCCAGTGCCGCTGTGACGAAGTGGGACTGTTCTGAATGTTCTCTCTGAATACTGTAGGGGTGCCTCAGTTTCCCCTAGGCATTTCTTAAGTCTCTAGGGGGTGGGATAAGGGGGTGTAATTGTTGCAGAGCAAAGGGCCCGGGGTACGTAAATGGCCGACACTCTGTCTCCTGGCAACTGATGGCCTGGGCCCTTCCCCCCTGCAAGGTGAGAGCTGAAGGGTTGGAGAACAAAGGAATCAGGTGACCTCCTGGCCCGGGAAAGGGACAAAGCCCAGAGGAGGAGGGGCTGGAGGGAGTTTCAGTTTGGGGCTGGCTGGGACATGGAGGGAAGTGCAGACGGGGTTGTCTGGCTCACTGCCCCCCAAAATGGACCCAGCTGAGGGGTCCCGTTCTCTGCACCTATAACCTCTGTTTTAGACCATGTTCCTGTCTAATAAACCTTCTGTTTTACTGGCTGGCTGAGAGTCACGTCTGACGCGGAGTTGTGGGGCAGGACCCTCTGGCTTCCCCAGGACCCCGCCTGGGCAGACTCGCTGTGGGAAGCGCACGGAGGGGCAGAGGAGGCTGAATGCTCCGAGGTCAGACCCAGGAAGGTGGAAGCCGGGGGAGCTGTGTGTCCTGCAGACAGGCTGCTTCCCGAGAGGAGACTTCCCCAGAGTCCTGCCTGGCTTCGGAGGGAGCAGGTCCAGAGCATCGCCCAGGGACCCCATGACAGCTGCACACAGGGGTGGGGCCACACCCCCAGCTCTGCAGTGCGCCCGATCCCGCTCCAGGCCTGCCACGCAGCTGCCCCACTTCCAAGAGGCAGCCTCAGCCCCAGCTTCCCCCGCCAGCGAGTCGAGTCGCACTGAGCCGGGCTCTGGGGGAGCCTTGGCTGCTCCCCAGGCACCAGCCCGGACCTGCAGCGACCCTCCGCACGGGCCCCGCAGGCGGGTTTGTCCGTTGCTCGGCCACAGCCGAGGGAAGCCCCAAGCCCACCGTTCCCAACCAGCTGCACCACTTGCGGGAGGCTGCTTGGTCTGTGCACCCCGAGTATCACTTACAAGCTACTTGCTAACAAACTGCAAAGGGGCACGGCGCTGTTACTGAGCAATGGCTGACTCCTGTATTTTTACCCTATAATTATAAAATAAATCCCTTGGAATAGAAATATCGCACTTACATAGTACAGCAACAGGGCCCTTCCTTTTCAGGCTTTGGTTTGTTTAATGTTCCCTGGGAATGGATCGGTGTTTACTACAACAACAAAACCGGGTGAAAACTGGTGCAAAAAACTAAATAATTCTTCTGGGTAAATATCAGGATCTTATTTGGTGGGTGTAAAGACACGGGGGGAAGTAGTCAGTAAATTAATGCTTTGAATTCCATTCATCGACGTGGTTTGCTGCAGAGCTAAAACTGAACTGAACCCGCAAGGCCACCGCTGAGCTTAGGAAACCATTAGATCTCCACTCCCCAAATGAAACTTTTCATTTGAATAACCAGTTGCCTGTTGTAGACTCAGAATTATTAGCCTATAAATATTTACATTCAAGAAGTGGGCGGCCCCATTTGCAGCGCAGACGCTCAACTTCCTCCTTGTCTCCTGTTTTGTTTTTTAAACTTTTGAATGCTTCCTTGTGGTCTGAAGCGCGTTCGGAGACAGATTTTTGTTTTATTCCCAGTTTAGTGGATCACATCTTTAAACCAGCCCCTGCTAACAGCTTGAAACGTGCACGGGCGTGAGATTCATCGGTACGTTCGGATGCACACGCACGGCCGAGCTTGCTGCAGGCCTGGCCATTGTGAGTCTCGTCTGACTAACGCAGAGTCTGACTTCAAGAGGCAGCCGCACAGGCTAGCGTATTATCCCAATGCATCTAGCTCAGGCCAGGGGTTGCATTTTCCTAACAAAACAAGTTGTTTTTAATATGTTTGAATGACACAGACGTAGGGTGTAAATCTGAAAAAACGGAGTAATACGTTTTGTAAAACCCAGGACATTTTTGGTAAAACTTGGTTTAAACTGAAAATGCAGGGGTGTATCCCGAGACCCTTGCGCACACGCACTCCTGCTTGAGCCCCCCTGGCCTAGACCCCTGGAGAAAGGACAGTTAACGCAGAGCCCGTCTTCCAGCTCACGTGCTGTGACCCCATGGCTAGGCTCTGTCCCTCGCCAACTCCTTCCTTGCTCAGCTCCCCGGTGAGAGAGCACCGAGGTCCTTCCCGCAGCCAGCCCCTGGCTCTGGAGCTGGGTCAGTGCCTGCTTCCCTGCGGGGGGCAGGGGATCCTCCTCACGCTCGGTGCCCACGTCCAGGGGCTGGGGCTGCTGTTGTCTGCTCCCGTTTTCCATTGATCTGGGTCGGCCTCGGCCAGTCCTTTGTAAGGGTCCGTCCAGTTGGCTCAGCCTGCTCAGCAACCCCCTTCCCCACATCTCTTGGTCTGCCCTGAGAGAAAACTTGGTTCTTTTTCCCCTGCTGGGCAGCCAGGCACAGTATAGGGGAAACCGAGGCACACATGGGCCTCATAAAACTATTACAAACAATTCCCCCTTTGACGCAGGTGCCCAACATCAAGTTGTCCCTTGGCCTGTGGCTGCACGAGGGTCTCCAGGTCCCTGGCCGGGGCTGCTCCAGTTAATTCAGCCCCCATCCAGTGTGCAAGGACATCCCGGTTACCCCCGCCCCCAAAGGCGCAGCACTCAGCACACTGCAGCTATTACAGGACCACGGTTTAGTCAGGGAGCCTGCTGCCCTCCAGCCCTGCCCCTCCGCAATCTTGGCAATCCCTCCCTGGCCCTGCCCCGTGGGCACCCGTGTGGGGTTCAGGCTTTTACCTGCAGGGATGTCAGACCCCCCCTTCTCTGGCCCACCCTCATGCTTCTACTCTCTCGGGGCTGATCTGGGCCTTGTAGGTCAGCCCCAGGGCATGGGCCCTCCAACCAACCCGAGTGGGCCCATAGGCTGGAGAGCGGCCCCTGGCACATAGCTGCTGACTGCTCAGTAGTGCTGCTCAGAGGTAGGAAAAGGCTGCTTTGAAGATGGCCCCAGTTTTCTATCACTGGGGGAACACGCAGCAGAAACCTGGATTCTTGCCCCACCCTGCGAGCCGACGGCATTTGTTGGGGGCCATGGAGCCCACGGCCGTGCACTTGGAGCCTTTGCTGGCTGACCATTTGTGATGTTACAAAGGTTGTCGTGTGAGGTGTCTATGGAAAGGTTATGGTTTGCTGGTTATGATTATGCTGTCTGTATGGGTAAATCATTTCTGTAGTTGAAGTTATTAATATTGGCTATGTCCTTGTATCTCAAATGTATTTGATTCCAAGTAACCTCAGTGAAGCATTTGGTCAGCTTCTTGAGAAGGGACTGAATGCATCCGATGAAGTGAGCTGTAGCTCACGAAAGCTTATGCTCAAATAAATTGGTTAGTCTCTAAGGTGCCACAAGTACTCCTATTCTCGGTAAGTGCCCAGTCAAGAAACACTTAACGCACAATGGACTTTGGGAGACGCCAATCCACATCTGAGCTTTCCTGGGAACCTTCAAACTAACATGTAAACAATGTATAGTAGGGGAAGCAAAAGTGGATGGGAACCTGGGAGGCAGTGACCATGAGATGGTCGAGTTCAGGATCCTGACACAGGGAAGAAAGGAGAGCAGCAGAATACGGACCCTGGACTTCAGAAAAGCAGACTTTGACTCCCTCAGGGAACTGATGGGCAGGATCCCCTGGGAGAATAACATGAGGGGGAAAGGAGTCCAGGAGAGCTGGCTGGATTTTAAAGAATCCTCATTGAGGTTACAGGGACAAACCATCCCAATGTGTGGAAAGAATAGTAAATATGGCAGGCGACCAGCTTGGCTTAACAGTGAAATCCTTGCTGATCTTAAACACAAAAAAGAAGCTTACAAGAAGTGGAAGATTGGACAAATGACCAGGGAAGAGTATAAAAATATTGCTCGGGCATGCAGGAGTGAAATCAGGAAGGCCAAATCACACCTGGAGTTGCAGCTAGCAAGAGATGTTAAGAGTAACAAGAAGGGTTTCTTCAGGTATGTTAGCAACAAGAAGAAAGTCAAGGAAAGGGTGGGCCCCTTACTGAAGGAGGGAGGCAACCTAGTGACAGAGGATGTGGAAAAAGCTAATGTACTCAATGCTTTTTTTGCCTCTGTCTTCATGAACAAGGTCAGCTCCCAGACTACTGCACTGGGCAGCACAGCATGGGGAGGAGGTGACCAGCCCTCTGTGGAGAAAGAAGTGGTTTGGGACTATTTAGAAAAGCTGGACGAGCACAAGTCCACGGGGCCGGATGCGCTGCATCCGAGAGTGCTAAAGGAGTTGGCGGATGTGATTGCAGAGCCATTGGCCATGATCTTTGAAAACTCATGGCAATCGGGGGAAGTCCCGGACAACTGGAAAAGGACTAATGTAGTGCCCATCTTTAAAAAAGGGAAGGAGGAGGATCCTGGGAACTACAGGCCAGTCAGCCTCACCTCAGTGCCATCATGGAGCGGGTCCTCAAGGAATCAATTCTGAAGCACTTAGAGGAGAGGAAAGTGATCAGGAACAGTCAGCATGGATTCACCAAGGGCAAGTCATGCCTGACTAACCTAATTGCCTTCTATGACGAGATAAGTGGCTCTGTGGATGAGGGGAAAGCAGTGGACGTTTGTTCCTTGACTTTAGCAAAGCTTTTGACACGGTCTCCCACAGTGTTCTTGCCGGCAAGTTAAAGAAGTATGGGCTGGATGAATGGACTAGAAGGTGAATAGAAAGCTGGCTAGATTGTCGGGCTCAACAGGTGTTGATCAATGGCTCTAAGTCTAGTTAGCAGCCGGTATCAAGTGGAGTGCCCCAAGGGTCGGTTCTGGGGCCGGTTTTGTTCAATATCTTCATAAATGATCTGGAGGATGGTGTGGATTGCACCCTCAGCAAGTTTGCAGATGACACTAAACTGGGAGGAGTGGTAGATACACTGGAGGTAGGGATAGGATACAGAGGGACCCAGACAAATTGGAGGATTGGGCCAAAAGAAATCTGATGAAGTTCAACAAGGAGAAGTGCAGAGTCCTGCACTTAGGACAGAAGAATCCCATGCACCGCTACAGACTAGGGACCGAATGGCTCGGCAGCAGTTCTGCGGAAAAGGATCTAGTGGTTACAGTGGACGAGAAGCTGGATATGAGTCAACAGTGTGCCCTTGTTGCCAAGAAGGCCAATGGCATTTTGGGATGTATACGTAGGGGCATTGCCAGCAGATCGAGGGATGTGATCGTTCTCCTCTATTAGACATTGGTGAGGCCTCATCTGGAGTACTGTGTCCAGTTTTGGGCCCCACACTACAAGAAGGATGTGGAAAAATTGGAGAGAGTCCAGCGAAGGGCAACAAAAATGATGAGGGGACTGGAACACATGAGTTATGAGGAGAGGCTGAGGGAACTCGGGATGTTTGGTCTGCAGAAGAGAAGAATGAAGGGGGATTTGATAGCTGCTTTCAACTACCTGAAAGGGGGTTCCAAAGAGGGTGGCTCTAGACTGTTCTCAGTGGTATCAGATGACAGAACAAGGAGTGATGGTCTCAAGTTGCAGTGGGGGAGATTTAGGTTGGATATTAGGAAAAACTTTTTCACTCGGAGGGTGGTGAAACACTGGAATGGGTTACCTAGGGAGGCGGTGGAATCTCCTTCCTTAGAAGTTTGTAAGGTCAGGCTTGACATAGCCCTGGCTGGGATGATTTAGTTGGGGATTGGTCCTGCTTTGAGCAGGGGGTTGGACTAGATGACCTCCTGAGGTCCCTTCCAACCCTGATATTCTATGATTCTATGAATGGCGTCGGCCTGCAAACTGAGTCATGCATGGACTTGTGACTTGCCCATGTGACTCCAGACTCCATCTTGCTGCTGTGATTTTCCACAATAAGAACAAAGGGGTGGCCTTCCACCTGGCAGAGAATATAAACCCCTCCATCTTGTCTTAAGTCCTGCTTCTGACCTCTGGACTTTGCTACACCCATCCCAGCTGTGGATTTACTCCAGAGACTTGATTTGAACCTGCAGTTTATTCCTTCACTGCTACAAGCCTGAACCAAGAACTTTGCCATTCCTGGATGTCATTGATTCCATTTAACCAATTCTAGCTCTCATATCTATCTTTTTCCTTTTATGAATAAATCTTTAGATTTTAGATTCTAAAGGATTGGCAACAGCGTGATTTGTGGGTAAGATCTGACTTGTGTATTGACCGGGGTCTGGGGCTTGGTCCTTTGGGATAGAGAGAACCTTTGTTCTTTTACTGGGGTGTTGGTTTTCATAACCTTTCGTCCCCATAATGAGTGGCCCTGGTGGGGATACTGGGGAACGGGAGTGTCTAAGGAAATTGCTTGTATGACTTCTGGTTAGCCAGTGGGGTGAGACCGAAGTCCTCTCTGTCTGGGTGGTTTGGTTTGCCTTAGAGGTGGAAAAAACCAAGCCTTGGGCAGTAACTGCCCTGCTTGAAGCAATTTTTCCTGAATTGGCATTCTCAGAAGTGGCCCACCACAGGCAGCATCATTACACCCTTCTCCTGCGGCCGAGCGGTGGGACTCGGGTTTGCTTTCAGAGCAGCTGCCTGGAACGTCTGCGGCTTTTATGGCAAGTCTATAAAAGGGCAACCATCAAATCCAGTCAGCATCTCCCCAGAACCGGCCGCTTCCTGTTACTGACCCAAGAGTCAGCCAAGCCGGGTCAGAGTCACACCTCGGGGCCTGCCAGCGAGAGTGGGCAGCCTGGGAACTCCCCTTGTTCCTGGCGAGAGGCGTCCCCAGATCACAGACACGGACAGAACCCAGAGCATCCACCAGAGACAACAGCACAGCCGGGGTCTGGGCGCTGGCCTGGCAGGCCCAGTGACCTAACAACCATCCCTGGTCTGTAACCCGCCAATGCCTGCATTCCCCTCGCAGGCCTGAACCTAGCCTGGGCCTTGGCCTGGCAAAGCAGGAAGCGAACCGCCCCCAGCCTGACCCTCTGGCCTGGCAGCTCGAAGCAGACAAGCAGGTGGAGGGTCCACCCATGTCCAGCATTTCCGCTAACAGCCATTCAGGCATTCACAAAAGGAGCTGGGAGGTTAGTGCCTAGGTTGTGTGCCGACGGGCCCGTTTCCCTCCTTTGGGGCTCAGCCATTTGGCAAGAAACTGCCATGTGGGCAACATTCTGGGCACAGCGCGAGGCCAGGCGCCCTCCGGCCCCGCCGTTCTTGCAGCCTCCAGGACCCCACCCAGGGCTCCATGCCAGCACGAGCCAGCAAACTGGGGGGGCTGTGTCTCCCCTGCCCTGTAGCCTGGGGAGCCTCACCATGCCATGCTGAAGTAGCTCCCAGCTGGGCTGCTCGCACACAGCCTGACAGCACCCCTGCCAGCCACACCCTGGCTCTCACCAGCCTGGGTTATACAGCAGGATCACCCCAGCACACCCCCAGTCCCAGATCGCCCTCAGAACTGTATGTCCTGGATGCCCAGCCCTCGCCCGGACAGTCCAGAGGTGTTAAGTCTGTTATGCCTTTAAGGGAATAATATGCCAATTCTGATCTCAGATAGCTATTAAGACGTTTCATTTCAAACATCCTGGATTAGCTAGAACAGTAAAACAAGTGTATTACCTACAAAGAGAGATTTCAAGTGAGTCCAAGCCCTGAGGCATGAGAATCAGAAATGGTTACAAGGACAATAAAGACAAGCCGGTTACTGGTGCCCAACTTAACCAACCAGATCCGCTTCAAACACAGGTTCTCACCACACGTTCCAGCAGATTTCTGGCCAAACGCTGCAGGTCACGACCCTCCCCAGAGTCCAGCAGCTGCTTCCTTTTCTCTCCTCAGGTGCAGTGAATGTGACGGACAGGGAGAGAAGAGGGCCTTGGGGTGCTTGTCCCTCCCTTTTAGAGTCCCCCCCACCCCACCCATTGGCAGCTGGGCATCAGGAGGCAAAGTCTGTGTGAAAGGATGTTCCCTGCCAGATTTTTCCCCCTGTTTGGGCTTCCTTTGTCTCCCCTTCCTGCTCGAGAACTCTGTTCACTGCCCAAATGCAAATCAAGGCAAGCACACATTCCTGGGGCTCTGGGCTTTGGAGCGTGGTAATGCACCCCACGGGGGACTCATCACTTCACCTTAGGTGTTTCCACACATTTTACCAGGCAATACTGACCAGCAAATTATGAGTTTTCAAATGCTACCGTACAAGACATGCCTTGTGCAAAGATTATTACAGTAGTGTGTAGTGTGTGATCACACAGATGTATTCTGTCACAGTCACGTAATCTGGTCCCCTGCACTCAAGGCAGGACTAAGTATTCTCTAGACCATCCCTGACAGGTGTTTGTCCAACCTGCTCTTAGAAATCCCCAATGATGGAGATTCCACCACCTCACTGGGCAATTTATTCCAGTGCTTCACCACCCTGACAGGTAGGAAGTTTTTCCTAAGGTCCAACCTAAACCGCCTTGGCTGCAATTTAAGCCCATTGCTTTTTGTGCTGTCCTCAGAGGTTAAGAAGAACAATTTTTCTCCCCCTTTGTAACAACCTTTTATGTACTTGAAAACTGTTCTCATGTCCCCTCCCAGTCTTCTCTGCTCCAGACCAAACAGACCCAGTGTTCTCAATCTTCCCACACAGGTCATGTTTTCTAGACGTTTCATCAATTTTGTTGCTCTTCTCTGGACTTTCTCCAATTTGTCCACATCTTTCCTGAAATGTGCGGCTCAGAACTGGACACACTACTTCAACTGAGGCCTCGTCAGACCGGAGTAGAGTGGAAGAATCACTTCTTGTGTCTTGCTTACAACACTCCTGCTAATACAGGGGTGGGCAAACTACAGCCCGCAGGCCGCATTTGGCCCAACAGACGTTTTAATCCGGCCCTTGAGCTCCTGCTGGGGAGCAGGGTCTGGGGCTTGCCCCGCTCTGGCACTCCAGCTGGGAAGCAGGGTCAGGGGCTGCTCTGTCGGCTCCCAGTAGCAGCGACATGTTCTCCCTCCACCTCCTACGCGTAGGGTCAGCCAGGGGGCTCTGCTCCGCATGCTGCCCCCACCCCAAGCTCCACCCCTGTGGCTCCCATTGGCCAGGAACAGCAGCCAATGGGAGCTGTAGGTTCGGCACCAGCAGACGGAGCAGAGTGCACAGCCGCCTGGCCACTCCTCCATGTAGGAGCCAGAGGGGGGACATGCCGCTGCTTCCGGGAGCTGCTTGAGGTAAGTGCTGCCCAGAGCCTGCACCCCTGAACCCCTTCTGCACCCCAACCCCCTGCCCCAGCCCTGATCCCCCTCCCACCCTCCAAACCCCTCGGTTCCAGCCCGGAGCACCCTCCTGCACCCCAAACCCCTCACCCAGCTCCACCCCAGAACCCGCACCCCCAGCCAGAGCCTTCACCCCACCCCCCGCATCCCACCCCACCCTGCCTCAGCCCAGAGCCCCCTCCCGAACTCTGAACTCCTTATTTCTGGCCCCACTCTGGAGCCTGTACCCCTAGCCAGAGCCCTCACCCCCGCCTCGCACCCCAACTCCGATTTCATGACCATTCATCGCCCACCCCTGTGCTCATACAGCCCAGAAGGATGTTTGCTTTTTTCGCAACAGCGTTACACTGTTGACTCACATTTAGCTTGTGATCCACTATGCCTAGGGCCCTGCCAGATTCACATCCATTTTGGTCAATTTCACAGTCATAGCATTTTAAAAATCATAAATGTCATGATTTCAGCCATTTAACTCCGAAATGTCATGGTGTTGTTACTGTAGGAGCCTGGCCCACAATGGGGAGTGTGTGTGTGTGGGGGGGTGTCAAGGAGTCCCTGGGCGATGCTCTGGAACTGCTCCCCATGAAGCCAGTCAGGACTCTGGGGAAATCACCTTCCTGGGAGCAGCCTGTCTGCAGGACACACAGCTCACCCGGCTCCACCTTCCTGGGTCTGACCTCGGAGCCTTCAGCCTCCTCTGCCCCTCCGTGCGCTTCCCACAGCGAGTCCGCCCAGGCGGGGTCCTGGGGAAGCCAGAGGGTCCTGCCCCCCAACTCCGCAGTCAGACGGGACTCTCAGCCAGCCAGTAAAACAGAAGGTTTATTAGACGACAGGAACATGGTCTAACACAGAGCTTGTAGGTGCAGAGAACAGGACCCCTCAGCAGTGCAAGCAGTTTACTGCAACTGAAGGGTGTGAAAGTTGGGGGGCAGTGAGCCAGACAAACACGTCTGCCCTTCACTCCATGTCCCAGTCAGCCCCAAACTGAAACTCCCTCCAGCCCCCTCCTCCTCTGGGCTTTGTCCCTTTTCCTGGGCCACAAGCGCACCAGATCCCTTTGTTCTCCAACCCTTTAGCTCTCACCTTGCAGGGGGGAAGGGCCCGGGCCATCAGTTGCCAGAAAACAGGGTGTCGGCCATTCTCTGTGTCCAGACCCCTGCACACACCTGCCCTCTAGGGCTATGCAGTGATCATACACCCTTATCCCACCCCCTAGAGACTTAAGAACTGCATAGGGGAAACTGAGGCACCCCCACACTATTCAGAGGAAACATTAAGAACAGTCCCGTTTCATCACATCTCTCCCCCCTTCGAGATCAAACTGAGCGGGGGTCACTTTAGCCGATGACCTGGGGAAGTTCGAACCCACCAACGTTCCCATGGATGCCCCAGCATCTCTCCCATTCCTTGGTGGGAGTTACACCAGGCCCTTCCAGTTTCACGCTCTCCCTTAGGTCGGGCGTGGTCGATAACACTCGCAGGCCACATGTGGGAAGGTTTATGCGGCCTGTGCCCTTTGGCCACCCCAAAACCCCAGGGGGTCAAACTGGGATTGGGTCTTCTCCCAGAGCTCCAGTCTGGCAGGCTCCAATTCGGGCTTTCTTGGTTAAGAGCCCCCATCTTGACCTGGGACACATACTGTTCACTTACAGAACTAGCATGGAGACATCCCCTTCTCCACAACCTTGTCTCCCCAACAATCGGGCCAAACACAGCCACTTGGTTATAGGACGGTTTAACTTTCTTAACAGCTTTTACTTCATCTGAGACTTTCTCAAAGCTCTCCACACTGGATCTTTCAACAGGAAAGTCAGTGGATCCATTCACAACAGAGAATCTCTGGCTGTTAGGAACTGAAACTTT